GATAATATGGGAATGTCCAGGTTCAGTTCCTAGGGACTGTTGTGTGTTTTCAACAGCTTTATCCAACAGGCAGGAAAATAAACCAAAAAATCCAGAAGCTATACAACAAGGTCTTAATTCCTGCATTGTAATTTAATGGCACTGAGTCTCAGCAGCTGCACACTATTTCTTTTCAATAATTTCTCAAATTAATTCTATGATCACCTTAAGGGAGGCAAGCTGCATCAGAGGCAGTTCAGATGGGATATTCAGGAAAGCTTCACTGAGGGGGTGTGTGGTCATTGGAACAGGATCCCCAGGGAAGTGGACATGGCACCAAGCCTGACAGAGCTCAGGAAGTGTCTGGACAATGCTCTTGAGTCATATGATTTAGTGGTAGGGAGTCCTGCAAGGAGCAGAGAGCTGAACTTTAAGATTTGTGTGGGTCCTTTCCAACTTGAGACATTCTATGATTCTAAATAGTAAAACTGCAGTTATGTGGTCAAGCAGTAAGCTGAACACTAACAAGAACTAAAGGACTTTAGGTCTATAGTTCAAGTGCCTGCAGAGTTATAAAAAAACAACCCTCTCTCCACAAAACTTAGAATTGTCCTTTAACAAGTATTTTAGATTTCTTCTCTAAGTCAGGAAATGAAATAAGCAACATCTGACCTTAACCTAATAGAACAGGCCACAAAAAACTGAATATGAACCTCCACAGTCACCTGTCTCAACAAGCACAGCTTTTCAGGTCAAATGTATTTCTGATGAGAAAAGTTTACATATTTTGCTGCCCTGTTTAAAAGTGACTTTTCAAAAAGTCAAAACAACCCTAAAATTAATGCCTTTGATTTGAAGGCTCATTGGACAAACAGAATTAAACAGTTCATGTTGTTCTGAGCAACTATTTACAGGTACAGAAAAATAGCAGCTTTACCTTCATAAACAAACCAGCATGGCTGAAGTCTCAAGCAGAGCACTGTTTACTAAATAAGTCTTTAAACCAAATTCAAAACTCACTTATTTTTAAACTATTCTATTAACTGTTGCAGTAGCACTACTACATGTAAAGGAAAGATATTTTGGAAGAGCTCCACACTGAATTCACTTGATTCCACTGAAAAAGTCTTGTCACTGATCATCTGCAGATTACTGCAATCTTTGTTTAAGGTTTAACTTAGTTACATCTACTGTGGAAAAGAAGATACCACATTATGTTCCCTCAGCACAGGCACATTATTTACATTGGTAATAAACACTATTAAACTTTAAAAACCACAGCACTGCATAAAAGCTTCTAACACCTCAATCTACTCCTGCGCTATTGCAGTGAGGCACAGTAAACAAGTCCCAAGAGAAAATACAGCAAATAAGTACAAGACAGCTCAGTTCAGCCTAAAACAAGTCAGCCATTCCTCTTTTTTTGCCTTAGACACCACCATTAATGCAAAATAAATGCATGCTGCTAGAATATCAGTATCATGATCAGAATTTCTACCACATTATCTTGAGTATCAAAATCACAACAAGTACTTAACCTCCATGTACTAAGAGCCATTTAACACAAACCCACTTTCACATGAATGAGAAATCAATTCAAGAGGATCTGCTGAATTTACAGACAAACCTACAACAATATATTTAGAGCACCGATATCAAAGGAGATTAAGTTGTGGCACAAATGGGAAGTACAAGTGGTTTTAGTTGTCAGAAAGGCAATTTTTCTTAACATATTTACATTCTATAACATCACTGTGGCAGGTTATTCTTTTACCCCTGATGTTCCCACATTACCCTGCTGTTGGTCTCTCGTGGGCTTTGCACTGAAAGCTTTTAGAAGTATTTGCAATGTCACCACTTTCTGTGGTGGTTACACAGGTTTCCTCAAACAAACAAACAAACAAACCCTTCTGAAAGCAGCCATTAAAAGCTACACATTTATAAAGCCTATTTCCTTGTCTAACAGAGGAAACATTTAGCACTGAGCAAAACAGAACCAAGCTTCATATTTCTTGCAGCATGTTTAACTTCATATAAACTTTCCCACCAGTCAAAATCAAACAGAATTCTGTAAACACATGAAATAGGGCCTTACTCAAATACAGGATCTCTCCTGCATGAGATCCTTCACTTCAAACCTTTTCTACACACACAGGTATAAAGACAACAAATATTCCTGCTCTTTGTAAGTTTAACACTTATTAAGGGATTTGCAGGAAAAGACTGACATTGTTACTGAAGAAGTTTTAAAGGTTCTTCACAAGAGGAAGCAAAACATTTAAAGATGTGTCAGCCAGACAAATGTTACTTTCATAAGAGCAATACAAGCCACAACAAAGAGCTCTCAAAATTAATAAGAAAATGGCAGGTATGCATTTGCTTTCACTTTGTAAACATAATACTGAAGGTGTTTTCATATTTATTAAAATTAGCATAAATGAAAAACCTGTTAATCCACCCACAATATCAATGCAATATCAGTACTGGAGAGACTTCACAACATGTTAATCAGTTTGCTCAAACCATCTCCCCATCATCATTATGGGGGAACAATTCTAAGTTGCATGGAAAGATTTTTAAATCTTCAAGCATGCAGACAAGTTCAAGCTGCATGTAAGAGATAACACTAAAATGAGAGTGAATAATTATCAGAGATTATATGTGAAAGCAGAAGACAATTATTAATATATTTTCTGAACAACTGATATTCTGGAAAAATAATCCCATATAAATTAAGTTCGCATAATGAAAAAGAACAGCTAATACAAGAAAAATAGGGCAAACACTGAAATGATACTCATCCTTCAGTGGCTGTGATAACGGACAGTTGAAACTGTCTTAAGCAAAGGAACACCACCTGGATGAAATGGGCATGCTCATCCCCCACAACCACTTGGGCTGGTCTGCAGCACATCAAGGACCAACTGGGTTAGGATTTTTATCTTGGCACCAGTCCTGCAAGACCCAGACACAGACACTGCCCCAAGGGATGCAGCACCCACGTGTCACATTCTCTTTCCAGCACAGTCCCAGAGCTGGGGGCCTGTGCTGAGACCCTGGGGCAGGTCTAAAACACAGCAGAGCTCAGCAGGCTCTCAGCTCCTGCCTTTCCAAAACAAAGTTACTGCTGGAAACAGTGAAACCAAGTTTTTGCAGCACTAGCACTACCCCATGCTAAAAGAGACTTACTGATCCTAAAGGAAATACTGATTTCAGATAAATACTTTACCACAGCTGCAGACAAAGAACCACTTCATAGAACTACCCAGTTTCACTCAGCATGACCATCCTGTTAAACTTCTCTCTCCGAGAGAGATGGGGAGATGATGGGCTGGAAAAGGAAGCCAAAGTAGGGAGAAAGACAGAAGACTTCAATTCTAGACTCATGAGCTTTTCAGTCTTCTGTACAGGGCAAGTTATGCACCCAAATTTAGTGAAAGACACACATTACTTATTCACATCATATACAATCAGAATAATCCACAGTATTATCCTAAAAGTTACTATCAGATGATGCTAATGTGGTTCAAAACTTATGGTGGCACTACAGTGCTTTGGTACCTCAAATGTGGCACGCTAAATGCCAGAGGTTTTTTCTCCTAAAAGCTGAAGGTCATATACTTTCAAACCCAGTATTTAGGAATGAGTCTCATATGTATTTTAGTTTCAGGAACTGCAATTTTACAGGCAACAAAACTCTTGAAATTATCGCTCAGAAATAGCTGTACTATGAAAGTCATCTTTATATAAAAAAAGAGACTAAAACAACTTTGTTTTTACTGTGTCATTCTGACAGATGCACACTGCTGACTACTATAAGCTTTCAAAACTTTCCTATCATTAATCTAGGTTTGGCAGAGTAACCAAACCAAGCATTTTAATATTCTCTGCAACAGCTACACAAAAGAACTTTAAAAGTTATCCATAACTGCCTATAAAATCTAAGCAAATTAACTGGCAAGTGAAGATTAATAAAGCATCTGCAAATGCTTAAGTCATGAAAGCTTAATGTTTTCTTCTTGGCTAGGATGTGCTTCTTTCCATGTTCTTCCTTGAACCCAGCCACATCACCCCATTTGGGCAAAAGAACCCTCTCTTGACACAAATTCAATGAGCCCTGCAGCTCAAGTGGCAGCTGTAAACAGAAAGGTGAGATCCAATCTTGATGGAAGGTGCACAGGAAGGTATAATTACAGAGGAAAACTGCTACTTCATCTACAGTATTAAATAATTGAGAAGTGAGCTGTCACTCTGGTACCAACTCTCAATGTGCACATGATTTACCTATGTCAAGACATTCCAATGCCCTAAATTCTCAGGTTTGCTTGTGATTGCTGTGTAATACTCTAGCTCAACATCTTCTTAACCTAAGGACTGGCAAACTGCTATTAAGTGGTCATCGCTCCTCACTGATGATCCCATTATTGCTCTGTAACCAAAAGCAGCCTGCACATGACTTGGTGTGTCTGGGAATCACAAGACATCCTTAGTTTTATTATCATACATTATTCTCAGTGAAAATTAGGCCTCAACAAACATCCATTGAGTCATTACAAGCACATTAATGGCATCTTCCAAAGCATGTGGACTTCTGTTAAGGCTTCCCTTTGTCTCTCTCCAGACTCTGAAGCACTATATTTGAAGTTTCACTGTTTGCACTATCACACTTCAAATAGTATTTATACAGAACACAGTACAGACACATCCTATTTGTCTCAGCTAAAAAAGCAAACAGACTATGTCTAACATGTCATTACAGGAAAAAAAAAAAAAAAACAACAGTCTTTTTTCTTCCATAGAGAGAGCAGGAATTTAATCAATTTGTATTCCAATTTAAATGCCCACACATTATCCACTGCTACTGAGTCTTTTGTCTGGTGAGCCACAGACAGTTGGAAAGAAAAAATGTTGCAGAAACTACCTGCTTTCAACAGATCAAAATACTTTATACTCCTTGGCCTAAAATATTATGGAAAACAAAGAAATATTCTACAAGCAAAGAAACCCAAGCAAGCGTTTACCAGTTAGTAGTATCTTCTTGCAGTCTTAACAGAGAACTCCCTTCTTCAGATTATTGATGCAGCAGCTCGTCCTCACAATCTGAAAGAGCAGAGGAACACCATTAAACATAAACAATACATGGTATTTCAATCACATAAACCAGTGCCAGGGGTAAATCAAAGTTAATCCTGCAGTGCCAAGGAACCTACATAATCCTTTAGGAATGCAAATGAGACATGCAGAATTCAAAAACACTTGGTGATTTTATGGAATTGACATTACAAGCAAACAGAGAAGCATCCTTACAACCTCTTCTGTGAGTCAGTAAGGCTATTAGCTAGCCATGATCACAAGCATCAGAAATAGAGCATTGCAGCTCAGCATTACCAAGTTACATATAGTTACAGCACAAAAAATAGAGCATTACATCTCTGCATTACAGAGCCGAGTTACACATAATTGCAGCAGAAAAAAGTAGGTCTCAGTTCAAGCTTTATTTACAGTGCCACATACATTGCACACAGGGAAAAGCACTTCATTGCTATGGTTTTCATCAGTTAAAGAAAAAATGCCACCAATAGAAGTTTTTACCTATCTGGACTTCTCTAGGGTCACTAGGATTTTCTGCTTCAAAATTAAGCTTCTGGTTTAGAAAAATCAGTATTTGTATGGTCAAACAAAACAGCATTTCCTATGGAAATGCAGCACTGAGATTCCACTGCAAGCACCTGGAGGGTATTTCAGCTCATTTGGAGTAGATTTATATAGCAAGCAGCCTACCTTTTTTAGTACAGTAACTGGGTGATGAACTGCCCAGAACTGATAGCTTTCTGTTGTGGTGAAAGGTTCATAAGTCTTTTCCCTTTGGGGTTTTGTAGGCTGCTTCTCTTTCAAGGATTTCAGCTAATTTAAATACTTAAGTGTTTAAGTACTTAAGTGCTGTCACTTAAACTGTATCCAGTAAAACCACTGCTGCTTCTCCTTCAGGTATTCCTGGCACTAGAATCCTTCTTTTTAGTATCTTACATTTCAAAGTTTCTTTTAAAGAGTCATCTTCCCATTTTGTCCTCCAATTCTCTTTCTGCTTCTTAAAGCCAAGTCAAGCATATTCTGCAACATGTCTGTTTTTAGCACAAACTTGCTTTAGAAATATAAAATCCCTGTCATGTCATTTCAAATCCAGCTGAAGAGGCATGAAATATTCAGCGTTAATTTGTATTTAATCAGCTATCAGCAGTTCCTCTTACATCAGGTAATCCTGATTAATGGGCATTTAACAAAAATATGTTGCTTTGCAGTTAAATATATAATCACAAACACCATAACATTACTGATTTCCCCAGCTTGGGAAGGCTGGAGGGAAGAGGAAGAGTTATAAAGTATCGAGGTTGGGGAATGATTTTAGTCACAATGAAAACTACCATCCAAAAGATGCTCCCCATTGCCTCCTGCCCTCTCTGCAAAGGGAAAAACCTGCAAGCTGAGGAGCACAGCTAGGAGAAAAGGCGCTAAGGACTCTGAGATACTATGACAAACAAAACCAAGGGATCCTGTTCACAGCTACATGGAAACAAATAATTGCAACAGACAGCTGAAAAGCAAAACCAAAAAAAGACTAATATTAACTAATGATAACTTTTGCCAATTTGTGTCAAGGCAGTACTTAAGATAAGCAACTGCCTGTCAAGTTAATGTGTTGGTGTTTGTTTTTTTTTTCCTGCAAATGTTGTAAGAAGCACTATTTCTCTTTCTTGCAGAAGGAGAAATCTAAACAACACCCAAAACACATTCACTCCATTAATGCATAGGCTTTGTTTAAACCATTGTTCCACTACCCTATTCAGTCCCCTTCATTCATGGACCTCTTGCCAGACAACTGTATAGGTTAACAATTATCTTATAAACTGAATGGAAGATATAAGATCCTTTCATTCATGCTGCCTGGCAAATGCACAGCAGAGCAGTTCTATCACTGCCTACAGTCCATAACAGAATTGAAAGCCTTGCTGCCTGAGTGACCATTTAAGAAACTCAACAAGTTCCTTCAATACACTCAATCAAAAACACTTCCTTCTACCCTGCTACACTGCAGTATGAAAAGCTTCTTATTCACTACCAAAAATGGATTTTTTTTCAACATGATTGATCATTTCATTAAACAGGAAAATTGTTATATTTCTGCTGTTCTACTGTCAGGACAGACAGCATCACGTTGACAAATTCGAATGGTTAAATCTCCTTGTAACTACTGAAATCACAAGCAGGATTTTGGTTTACTGAAAAGAATACCTAAGCTCACTGGAGACCCTTCTGCCCTCAGCAGTCCTGCTCCCACTCCTGGCTGCTCAGCATTTCCTGTGCTGTAGTTCCTCCTCCCTGACCATCCATTCCTGCAGCCTGGCTTCAGGAGAAAGGGAAGCCAGAGCCAGCAGCAACAGCTGTGAGGCAGTTCTGGATGGGAGAATCCCACCTGGCAGAACTGCTATATGCTCCAGTGCATTGAAGAGATGATGGAAACATCCAGAAAAGCACTGGAAGCACATCCTCTGCCAGCACAGGGCAATGAATTAAGCCTGGTGTGATAGGAGGAACTGGAGAGGAAGGAGGCTGCTGCACAGGAGCACTGCACACAGCAAGGACAAGGCTGCTGAAGGGGGAGCACACACAGAAAAGCTGCAGAAAACATGGCCCCTTTGGAAGATCTCCACAGCTTTCAAGGCAACAATTCCTTATATATGATCTAGATGAATCCCATTCAGTCCACGGAAACTGCCAAGAGAGATTTATTTTTCTTTTTAAATAACACATCCCCAAAGTGTAACCTATGGTATAAATAGCATAGCTGAGAAAAACCAAGGTAACTGCCATCTTAGTTTACAGACAAGATTTGTTCACAAACTCATTTTCTTTACTTCAATAGACCTTTGTGGAGTAAATTAACACTGTTTCTTTGACAGGCTAATGGGAAGAGCAGGTGAACAACAAAAGAGTAAGCTTATTCCCAGGAGATATCCTTGCCTGCCCTCCACACACTGTGCAGGCATAGCTTTGTAGGATGATAAGTTCAAAAGAAGGAAGCAGACAATAAACCTACTTGTTCCTGCTAAATTAGGGAGACTTCACCTCTTGATGTAAGCGACCATCCCTTACTTCATTAGTTTTGTCACTTAAGGGGAAGCTGGAATTAGCACAGCACCTGATTAAATCTTGTTCTCCATACAAAATTCATGCTCAAGAAGACCATTAACCATAAAGATGCAGAAAGCCTTCTGTGAATGGCACAGAGTTTGCTTTTCCCTGGGTGCATGTTTCAACAGGCAGAGCCACAGAAAGTGCTTCTCAAGCCTCCAAGTTTCACACTCATTTGAGCTACAAGGAAGAAAACTTCTGAGAAATTTATTAATGGCTATGTCCTCAGGAGCAAAGGGTAAAGCCACTAACACAGGGCTTAGCTGGTTTCACTGAGGGACTCAGGGCACTCCATCCAAGACAGTTTGCTGAAATACTGAGGCAAAACAGGCAGTTATTGTCAGATACAGCAGTGTCTACACAGAGCTTCAAGTTAAATGATTTTGCAGTCTTTGCCACCATTAAAGCAAGACTGGGGCTTACAGCCCATGTAAAGCCCATGTCAGAACTGGCTACATGTCCTCACAAGCAGCTCACAGGAATGACTCAGGGCTGAGGTGCAGAGGTCAGTCTGTCCTTGAATTCCGCCCAAACCTTCAACCCAACAGCCCACACTCCAGGTCTCTGCCTTGCTCCAGTCAGACAATCACACACCAAGGACACTACTAAGTGACCATCTGGGGTGGCCTGAGATGCCATTTCATTTCCTCTTTATTTGGTAACCTACACAGAATCTTCAAAAGCCCAGACAAATATAGATTTCACAACTTAACATGCAGGCTATTTCAGCTCAAAAGCTTGTCTGAATTCCACTTAGGAGTAACTCCACCTAGCCTGTATACCTAACACTGGTGTATAGATATGAACCACATTTAAAAATCACATAACACACATCATCTTTGTCTGTGCTTGACTTGGCTTAGTCCAAAACACAGAAAGCACAGGAGAGACAGTAATGTGGATTTAAGGTGATGTATCCTCCATAACACAGATCACAACAGACTGCTAGACACAACAACACATCCTAAGATACATCTGAAATGCAGAGTATACAAAATGAGCTGAAGAAAAAAATAAGCCATAAAGATCCATAAAGATAACTGAGTGTCAGAAGGCTTATGGCTTACAAACCTTTCTAGTGTCAGACTAAGACAGAACACACATTGAGTAGTCAAAATAACCCCTGCAGAGCTTCTGGCAGGTCACCCTTCACAGCAAATAGCTGTGCAAGAAAGAGGCAGAAAGCAACAAAACCAGTGTCCCACAAAAGCAGGAAAACATAAAAATACCAGAACTCACTAATAGGTCCACAGCAAGAAAACTTGAGAATTTTATATTCTGCTAAAATGATACAGGCTACTTTTTTCCCTTATGAACATATTCTGCCAAAACTTTAATTTTCAGTTGAAAGAGGAAATTCTCCTGTGATTTGAGGAATTGGTAGTCTGAGAACTATTCAAAAATCCCCAGTTATTCACTTCTGCACAGCTGAGAAAGTAAGCTGTCATTCCTTTTATTTCCAGGACAGAAATGAAACCAAGTGTTTAAGATCAAATAATTACACTAAAACTCAATAGTTTGAGCTTCAACTGTACATCATGCAGTTAATAACACTGATGCAAAGACACATTCCAAGGTTAAAACTATTTGCCTCCAGAAGCCTGCAGCTCTGCTTCCATGTAACACTGGAGCACTCTAGTGACACCATTTTCAACAAAAGTATTCCTTTTTTTCATTCATCAGAGCAGCATGAGTTACAGGACTTAAGTGTGACAGTCCTTACAGGTTTGAGCTGCAAAACCACTAACTACAGTTAAAAATGTACCTCTAGTATTTATTCATGTACTAGAAGCTAATTTTGTGAGTAAATTAGGATCACCCAGTTAACTAAGAGTTGCAAAGACAGAGATGGAAGGCACACATAACCTTCTCTTGTCCTATGGCAAACATTTGGCAGAGGTTTAAAGTAT